ATTATGTATTTTTCTTTGTATTTCTGTGCTTATAATTCCAGCACCTGAGTACTAGTAGTATGCAGTCCAAAAAAAAAAAAAAAAAAACCATAAGAAGGAAATCGCTAATGAAATATTTCGAGAAATGGTTCCATAATTAAGACACAATTTTGCAGAATGCGCCTACCCAGGACCTTGTACAATGTATTGCAAAAGATCTACATAGGAAACATCCTCACAAAATATAAGCTCACTTGGAACAAGAAGATCCCAAAAACCTTCCAGAAGCAGATGGGGAAATTAGCCAACATAGAAGGGCTCTGGAATGAGAAAGGCATGTGACTTCTCAATCTCTAGCAAACACAGAAGCTAAAAGACAAGGAGTGAAACCTGAAAAGATGAATCACAGAGACAAGCACAGTCTCCCTTAACAATGAAGGTCAGATACTGACATTTCCTTCAATGTAAGGTGGCCTCTTTTCTCTGGAAAGCATTGGATGATTTATTCCACCAAAGGGGGGAGAACAAAACAAGGAAGAAGAAACAGGGCCTCCATCCAGCACAGGCTAGATAATGAAGGGCCATCTACAAAGTGGTGAAGGGAAACCCCAAGTTAACAGTGGGTTTGGTAACCAGAGGTTGCAATTGAAGGACAGAAGTCTCCAAGGACAGGAGGGAAACCAAACGTTTATTAGAAGTTTACTAATATATTAAAAGATTCACATAAGAAGAGTTTGGAAATACGGCTGCAAATACCATAAGATTAATCTGAGAAAATTGAAAGTAGTTATCTCTGAGAGATTCTAGGATGGGAAGGATCAGTCAGGGACTTGTTCTTTGTGTTTTAAAGCCAACTAGAACTGCTTGACCTAAATTTGTGTATGTTTGATAAGGAATAATCTTTTGTATGGAAAAAGGTAGTAACAAGCTTTAAATATATAGTTATTTGTAAAGCTAAATCTAAATGAGGGTTAATGGGGAAAGAGTATGTAGGTTATATGCTCTGACAATGTAAATATTGTCACTGTGTTTAAGTAAGAAGAGAGAGCAGTTATAAAAAAAAAAAAAGTTAACTGTTTTCAGGAATGACATGGACAGTGGTAGTATTAGTATGCTGTTCTGAAGCTGTTGTGAGTATATTGTGAAATAAAGCAAATGAATAATTATGGAATATCCCAAGTTTGTCATCTACTCTATCCTTGAGAACCAGAATTTTTTTTAAAGATTCATTTATTTATGCAGATAAGAACTGGGGTACAGGCCAGAGGTGTGGAGGGTGAGAGGATTCACCAGAGACAGAGTGGGGAACTAAACAGGCAAACTGACTGAAATACACTGCTGAGGAGAGCAGTGGATGAGGCAGGAGAGGTGTGCTGTGCCAGGTGGGTATCTCCCTGGCCGACCGGGGCTCAAACTCGTGCTGCAGAGGCTGCAATAGCTTCATAGTGCTGCGCCTAACCCCTTGCGCCACCAGGGAGACCCAAGAACCAGAATTTTTATTTGTATGAAATAAAGATATATAATATAAATATGTAATATAAAAGAGGTTACATTAAACCCTATGGTCTGAATTTGTTTCAGGCATATTCTAGATATAACTCTACCCACTGAAAAGTTCTGGTTCTGCTCATTGAACAATGGCCAACACAAGAGCAATGGCAATGAAGTCGTTTTTGTTGTTGTTTGTTTTTGTTGTTGTTGTTGTTTTACTTTTTTTTTCACATTTTTTAATTTTTTTTTAAACAATATTTTCTTGCCCCCACCCCCTCAGGCAATGAAGTCTGTTGACATAATTTCATGTCAAAAAGACTCAGGAACCAACCTAGGAGGTCCTACTGGCCAAGGAAGGGAGAAATGTGAACTACTAAGAATAGTAATTGAAGTGATTGAAATACAAATATTTTCATTTTTTAAAAGATTTATTCATTTATGCATACAAGAACTGGGGAATAGACGAGTGAGAGGACCCACTAGAGACAGAGTAGGGAACAGAACAACAGGTAGACTGACTGAAATACACTGCTGAGAGGAGCAGTGGGTGAGTCAGGAGAGGTCTGCTGCTCCATATCGGTTGCTCCCTGGCTGGGCATCGAACTCGTGCTGCAGAGGCTGCAGCACATTATCACCATTTTTGCAAACCCCAGTGTATTAACGAATCTAGACATTGAGAAAAAATGACTCCTAAACATAAAAAGAGAGATGGCGAAATAGTACCTACCTCCTGATGGAATAACACTGGCCTCTAGACTTGCCGGAGGACTGAGCTCAAGCCTCTGAATCCCATATACAATTTGTAGGAAATACAGAAGTCAGAAGATGCTAAATCCCATCAGGAGTATGAAATCAGCAGCTCCAGAGTGTGGAAAGTTTTGTAGGCCAAATAACCACATACTTCAATAAAGAAGTTCTAATAAAAAAAAAAATGGATGGTGGAAGACCTGTATGTTATAAGTGAATTTAGATAGATGAGATTAACCTATAAGTTTCAGGGATACCACTTGGAACAAAGTGAGGATTGGGCCCAAAGGTAAAGGAATGTGTGTGCTCTGGAGTGGGTGGGGTATGGGATGCACATCTGAGGAGGCGTGAACCTGCTCCTCTAAATCATATACAGTGCTGTAAACCAATGGAAGGAGGGAGGTAGGGAGGCACCTATAGTATAACACAGAGTAGTAGTTACTCTTGAGGGGATGATTAAACTTATGGTTAGCACAGGGCACGTGGAGGGAATTCTAGGGTGCCTAGAATTCTTGATCGGGGTAGAAATTACATGAGTATTTGCCTCATTATAATTATTTAAGTTACATACTTATTTTGTGTGGCTTTCTATATCTGTGTATAATTTTAAAAAAGTTTAAAGGAGGTTGATGGAGAATCCTATTATTTTGTTTTTAATGTAGAACACTAAGTGGAAAAAAGGGTTTCTGGATTATACTTATGTTATGATTCAATTTTTATTGAAAATAGGGGAGGTATATTATACCCCCTGGAATGATAGTTATCCAAATTTTATAGTTGGTATACTGTCAAGGATAGAGATTTTACTATTTGTGATGTGTAGCATGTTGATTAAAAGGGAAAAATCTAGTAAGTGGTACATAAATATATATATATGTATATACATATATACACATATAGCTTGTTTTACTTTTTACTTTGAAAATCATTTCAAACTTCTAAAGCATTGCACATAAATGCAAAGAACTATACATCATTGACAACCAGGTTCGTATTCTTTATTAAAACTTTGACTCCTTTGCTCATTCTTTCCCTATTGATAATAAGGTGCATATATCATGTCCCTTTATCTCCAGAGATGCATTTCTAAGTATTTCCTACAAAATAAAGATATAAAATTTTTACCTGTAATTTTTTAATGTGTACATAGTTGTGAACCTCAGAAACGTGGGGATTTTATATCAACTTAGATAATTGGTGTGAATAAACTATTTTTTTAAAGATTTGTTTATTTATACAAGCACTGGGTACAGTCAGAAGCATGGGGGGGGTAAGAGAATTCACCAGAGCCAGAATGGGGAACAGAACAGGCAGACTGACGAAATACACTGCTGAGGGGAGCACTGGGCAGGGCAGGAGAGGTATGCGCTCCATGCGGGACCCTTGCCGGCGGCCGGGGATGAAACCGGCGCTTCAGAGGCTGCGGGCAGCTTCGCAGCCCAGCGCTCAACCGCAGCACCACCAGGGGAGGCCCTGAATAAACTATTTTAAACTGTAAAAAATTTTTATAAAGAAATACGTATCTCTTTTTAACTTGATATGCCTAAGGTAATTGGTCACTTTTATCTGCACTTTAAAGAGAGTGTATCTTCAGATAACACCTACTGAGCAGTCAAAAATTGGAATCATCTTGGGTGTCCTCTTGCTCCCATAGGGCCTCCCTAGTGGCACAGGGGTAAAGTCTCAGCGCTATGAAGCCATCACCAGCCATCAACACTGTGGCATGAGTTCTATATCCGTCCAAGGAGCTAATCCACATGGCACAGCAGACCTCTCCTGTCTCACCCACTGTTCCCCTCAGCTGTGTATTTAAGTACATCTGCCTCTGTCTCTGGTGAATCTTCTCACCACCACCACCACCACCACCAGCACCACCACCACCAACACCACCAGCCACCACCAGCCACTACCGCTGGCCTACACCCCAGTTCTTGTATGCATAAATAAATAAAAATAAATCTTTAAAAGTAAAAACAAAAGAATGCTCCCACATATCTATCAAGTCAGCTGTAAAGGGAACACCTGGTCTGGCTTATTTTTTTAGGTGGTACTCACATTCATTGTCAGTTATAGATAGAAGAAGACAAGTTAATAAAAACTGATTCCTCAAAAATAAGGCTTCATTTGAAAGATTTTAAAAATGTGTTATAAACAATTTGTGGCCTATAACAGCTTTTCATAAATAGGAGGGAAACCTTCTTTGGAAAGTTTGAAGATTGTTTAAAACTTTTTATATTAGTTTTCAAGATTTATGACATATCTGGGTTTGGTCTATTTTTATGTAGAACGTGGGTATCTTGTCAGAAAATATCGGGCATATTTCCATGCTTTGCACTAAATTAAGTTTCAGCCGACACTGAAATTATTTAACAAACTAGTCACTTTCCACGGCACAATAAAAAAAAAAAATAGCTTCTGAAATATTTGTGCTAGTAACGTTTCCATTAAAATACACGAACCGTGACCATGGACCCATAAAATTGTCCCCGAGGCTTCTGCTTATAAATATGGAGAATTAGCACCTCTAGCACCTCGGTGTGCAGGGGATATGACTTCCCAGCTCTCCGCTCCCTTACTTTCTAAAAACAAGACTCTTTTTCTTTATAATTTAATAGACCATTTGGTATTACAGCTTACACGCCATTCAATTGCAGCCTGCAACACGGAGAAAATAAAATGCATTGAAGTTTCGTGTAACCAGATGGGACCTTCTGGGTATTTGAGGTTTGGAGACGCTCAAGGGAGAAGCGCACAGCGTTAAGGTGCCCTGTCTCTGCCCGCAGGTGAGCGAGATGGAAGTGAACGGGCAGTTCGAGTCGGTGTGCGAGTCGGTGTTCAGCGAGCTGGAGTCGCAGGCGGTGGAAGCCCTGGACCTGCCCATGCCCGGCTGCTTCCGCATGCGGAGCCACAGCTACGTGCGCGCCATCGAGAAAGGCTGCTCCCAGGACGACGAGTGCGTGTCCCTGAGGTCCTCCTCGCCTCCGCGCACCACCACCACCGTGAGGACCATTCAGAGCAGCACGGGTGAGTGCGGGCGGGGTCCCCGAGACGAGCACAACCGCCAGCCTGGACTTGGCGCCCAGGCTATGGTGCGATTACTGCAAAAGACAATGCTCTGTGGCCTTGCTGGGATCACACACTCTCCAGTAACAAAATGCACTCCTGCCCTGCAAAGCAATGGCCCCATTTCGCTTCCTGTCTCTACACCCGTCTCTAGCCACATTCACCCTCTCCCTTCTCTCTCCATCTTCACCCCTGGTGTCAGCAGAGGAAACTGGGACTACTGGGCCAGGAGCGACATTGCAGTGGGGCAGTCTCCCCAAGATCCCTACACAGCATCCAAGGAGCCAGCAAACTCATGCCAGCCAACTGTATGCTCCACAGTCAGGATCTGGCTTTTAGGCGTGTGACCGCACCCCCCTCAAATGAATTAGACACCCTGACTGTTGACCATCACAACGCTGGGGGTTTTTTTATTCTCAGATATCCCCAAAATGACTCTTCCAAAAGACATGAAATATCACTGAGTGAGAAAACAAGAAGAAATATATGATCTAGTACTATTGGTTGAACTTTTTTATGAGTTTTCTTTCATTATAACAGAAGGCAGACTCTTTTCATTATTTTAAAACCTTCTGACTATCCTCTGTATAGCACCTACTTTTCCCTCGACACTGAATTTAGATTTATATCATTAAATTGCATTTTTATCAGTAGATTTTAGGCACAGAGGCACAGAAGAGCTTAACTGGTTTCCATGACACTGGGACCAGCATAGGAATACAGCCATGGGTTATGTGCTACAATGTGTGTTCTGGGGTTTTTTTAAAAACGTTTTTAACATTTAGATCCAACAAGAAAATCTCCTCCATATCAACTAGGCTTAACTTTTTGATTGAATTCAGCACAACTGTAATACAGAGTAGTTCTACAAGGAGATCATCTAATCTAGAGTCAAGATAAATAATGATGAATAAATTAGAAGGAAAAGACTGTGCCAAAATATTGTATTATTCAATTTTAGCTCGCAGTGCATCCAGTGCCAGTAATTTTCATTCAGTCAGAACTTTTGCAAGCTTGACAATTAATAAGTCCTCAAATCTGAGTTAACATTCTACTAACTAGAAATATGAAGTTGGTGTACAAATTTAAAAATCAAATTTTAGAGGTTCGACAATGGAGTTCATTCTTGACCAAATGCAAACTAGCACCTCAGGATTAGGGAAATAAGTGCCTCTATACGATGCACTGGCTAAGCGGTTCCACCAGGAGCCCAGCAACTTTGACCGTGTCCGCCTCTCCACAACCCAAGATGGTGGATGCACATGCTTGTTCAAGAGGAACTTCTGCAAGAATAGCCTCAGATAAGGTTAATAAATTAAGTAAGATTAACTTATGAAATGAACAAATACTTTCTTAAAAAAATCATCCATGTGTGTGTTGAAGTCGTGCAATAAGTGTAATTTGAAGGCCTGCCCTGCGCCTACAGCCTATTTCTGTGTCATTTGGTGTTTCCCATTTTCCCCACCCCCTGGCCCCACACAACCCTTTCCCAGTGTCTGGCCCATTCCTCATGATAATCTCATCGCCTGCCAACTGAAATGTCCCCGTACATACACAAAACATGTCTCCTTGCCCAGACTATGGGGAAGGAAAGGAGGCGCTGGCTGCCTTCTTCCCTCTTGGGGAGGAGTGTTGCGGGTAAAGTGGCAGGAGATTCCAGAATGACTTTTGTCTCTTCCCCTCTCAGAAGACTGTATTTTTGTCATTTAAGAGACAATTTACTTACACTTCTTGCACCCATTCCTGTACCATGTTCTTCACCTCAAATACCTGATTCCTGACCTGCCTAAGATCCTTCACAGGTATCCGGAGGCTCCCAGAGTTCAAACAATAGGGTTGCCAGATAAAATCCAGGTTACAGTTCCATTCAAATTTCAGAGAAATAGGGCCTCCCTGGTGGCGCAAGGGTTAAGATGAAACCTATGAAGCAATCCGCAGCCTCTGCAGCAAGAGTTTGATTCCTGGCCAGCCAAGGAGCAACCCACATGGTGCAGAAGACCTCTCCTGACTCCCCCCACTGCTCCCCTCAGCAGTGTATTTCAGTCCTTCTGCCTGTTCTTTTCCCCACTCTGTCTCTGGTGAATCCTCTCACTCCCCCACCCCCACCCCCCCCACACACACACCTCTGGCCTATACCCCAGCTCTTGTATGCATAAATAAATAAATCTTGAAAAAAAAAAAACAAATTTCAGAGAAATAGCAAATAATTTTGTAATGTAAGTACACCCCAACTGTTGCGTGAGACTTACTTACATTACAAAGTTATTTGTAGTGTTTGTAATATTTTCTAAATTTACATGCCTGCTAGAGAAGGTGGTGAATAGGGTCCTGGAGGAGGTCCTGTGTTGCTCCATCTAAAATGTCAGTGGAGGGCCTCCCCGGTGGCGCAGCAGTTGAGCGCTGGGTTGCGAAGCTGCCCATAGCCTCTGCAGCGCCAGTTCGATCCCCGGCTGCTCCCCGGCCACCGGAGGAGGGTTCCACATGGTGCACAGACCTCTCCTGCTGCCCGCTGCTGCCCTCAGCAGTGTATTTCGGTCCTTCTGCCTGCTCTGCTCCCTGCTCTGACTCTGGTGAATTCTCTCACCTCCCGCATTTCTGACTGTACCCAGTGCTTGTATAAATAAATAAATAAATAAATAAATCTTTAAAAAAATAATAATAAAAAAAATAAATAAAATGTCAGTGGAATCACAGGGGCTTTGTTCAAAGGCCCTATGTGAGGGGACACCCCAAACAGGGTGAAGGGAACAAAAATACAACCTAAGTGATTGCACTGCCCCTTCTTGAGCTGTTTTCATCCTAAGTACTGAGCCACACCCACCTGCAGTTCTATGGGGGCGGGGGTGCTCCTGGCTTGACTGCAGCTAGGGGTTCAGGGGCAGGCGTGTGTCTTACCCAGGAGTGGTGAAACATAAAATAGCAGATTTTTGCGTAACTTGTAACTTCAACCTTAATCATCAAACTAAACATTGGGATATATCATCACAGTTTTGAAAAAATAAATAATTTAAGAACTAAATCTTTCTAGTGGATTTTAAGTAAGTCCATTAGATATTTAAGAGTGAACCTTCAAGAATTCTAATATCACCTTTCACAGTTTCTCCATGCCATCAATTTGTTCTTTAAAAAAAAAAGCCAGTGATTTGTGATAAATTTCTATTCCATCACTCCTGTGTCCTCCTCCCCTCTCACTCTCCTCCTACTCTCTCTCCCTCTTTCTCTCTCTCTCTTTTTCTCTCTCTCACACTAACACACACACACACGCACACACACCTTTTCTCACATGATCTCAATACTATCATATTAACTTTCTTCTACTGGTTTCCTTCTTAAATCAAGTGAAATACAATTTCCATAGAAAACACAGAAAATATACTTTCTGAAAAGAAGGACCTACTAGTTTTTTTAAAGAATGCATTCATCTGAAGAAATTAGGACATTACATAAGGGAATGGTTAAAATTAGAGCAAAGTCCATGGATCAGATTTACATTCGTGTTTAGTAAAACATGATGTAACTTTCTCCTTTTGTTTTCTCTTTCTTTGCTCATTATTCTTGAATACTCACAAAATATTCCATTTTCCCTAAACTCCCTCTTGTCTGAAAAAAGTTCATTTTTGCCAGTTGCAGTTATTAGCTATGACTTTTCCTCATGACAGTCTTTATTCTGAATCTTTCTCTCAGTGCATTTTAATTGTTCAAATATCATCAAAACTACTACAAAGGCTTCCTTTTCCAGCCTTGTTCATTCTTCACTTGGCGAACTGAAATCACAGACAGAAGTCCACAGGAGTGTCTGATGCCTCGTGAGAGGGTCGTGAAGATGGTCTCCCTCTGAGTGGCTGTACGGACATCTTTGCAGTGTGAGGGAGAATTGACAGACTCAGCTCAGCAAATCAGGGCAAATTTAAAACTGCATAAGAAAGTGATTTTTTTTTTTTAAAGATTTATTTATTTATTTATTTATTTATTTATACAAGCACTGGGTACAGTCAGAAGCGCGGGAGGGTGAGAGAATTCACCAGAGCCAGAGCGGGGAGCAGAGCAGGCAGAAGGACCGAAGTACACTGCTGAGGGGAGCAGCGGGCGGCAGGAGAGGTCTGCGCGCCATGTGGGACCCTCCTCCGGTGGCCGGGGAGGGGATCGAACCGGCGCCACAGAGACCTTGGGCAGCTTCTCAACCCAGCACTCAACCGCTGCGCCACCGGGGAGGCCCAAGAAAGTGATTTAATAGTTATGCTTCCTTGATTTATTGAATTCTTGGCTTATGTATGATAGAATTTTATATTCTCTCAGCCTATCATCTGCTTCAAACTCCCACAAATCTCAATCTATAGAAAGATTGAATGTCTTTCTATAAACAACTGCATCCAGGACTACTAGGTTAACATTAGAATTATTGTATGAAAGTAATATGAAAAACTAGGCAATCACCCTCATGACTGTGGGAAGACAAGCACCCTACTTCAGTCATCTGATATTTTCAATACAGAACTTAGTGCTAGAGATAGGCCCAAACCTCCACTTCAGAGATCGGATTAAACCTGCCTCTTATGGACTGTACCAATGCAATTGTATATGTTTAAGGATGAATTTTCTGTTTCTTCCTATGGTGAGAGGGAGATTCATTAAATAAGTATTTATTGGTTTTTATGATTTTAAAAGGCAACCTATTATTTGAACTAAAATGTCACTCTTTGGCAGAAATAGGCAAACTCGCATGATATATGATTCTCTGGCCCTTTAAGAAAATTTTTCACTTTGAAAATACAAGCTTTCCAAAGAAACTTTATGAATCTATAATGTAATTTTTATAAAATGTAAATAGGTTCATTCACCACACTATGGCAATTGAATTTGGCCTGTGTGCTGTATTATTTTCTCCTAAGTGGAAGCTCTTAAAAGTTGGAGGTCAGTTGCTTTCCTGTCCTTCAAGAGCTTCCAGGTAGAGCAGGAAGAGT